CATAATTATATAATATAGATTTTGTTGATAAACTTAACTTATTGGCTTTAACTAGATTTTTCTTTTCTACATTTACTAATTCAATAGATACATTTGAATCTAAAATATGTGCACATAACATTTTTTTTGAGATAATTTACTCACAACTTGTGAAAGACAATAACTTTTAATCGATTTTATGTAATGTACATGCAAAAAATAGAATGTCTTTTAAAAATAAATAAATCCTAATAATACTCTTAAATCAGCATGACAATGCATGTACACATTTACAAAAAATAATTTCAATATCTGTGTCTTACCATGATGCATTTTTCTCGACAATATTTATGTATTATCATTGTAATAATGATTATATGAAAAAACAAAAAATGACGACCCTATTTCGACATAATCATGCATGCGACATACATATATAAAGATTGATACAAAAATAAAGATAGCCATAATGTTGTGTGTAGCAGTAGCAAAAAGAAAAAGAAAGCGAAAGAAGAAGAAAAAAAAAGAAGCGAAAAATGGCTTTTAGTTAACCCATATAGCAGTGCACCGCTACTAAAAAAAGAAAAAGAAAGACAAAGTAATAACGAGACATGAGCTAACATCTATTTCTTTACTTATGCATGCTAGCCGAGGCAAGTCAAGAGGGTGATTGAACGTACTGTTACTTAATTCTTTCTGTCTTTCTCTCTCTCTACATATATATTTTTTTCTTTTTCTTTTTTGGCAAACATAATATACTCGAAAAGAAATCTTTATTAAATTATAAAAGCTAAACAAGAAAGATGATTCAGAATGGAAAAAAAGTAAAAAAGAAGAATTTTTTTCTTTTCTTAAAATAAGTAAAAAAAAACACACATCATACGACTAAAAAACTTTTCTTATTTAAATAATCATAGATCCAATTTAACGTATTCAATGATTGATTTTATTTTTCGACCTACTTTTTGCCACCATAGTGGATTCAAAATTATATTTATTTTCAAATAATGGCAACTGATAATCATTTACTTCTCAAAAAAGGCTTTTGTTTGCTTATTCAGTCCGATGGTATCGAGCAGAGTTATGATAGAAATAATTTGTAATGTCTTATATTTATTGATTTTGTTACCACTCATGCGAATGTTGTCGTCATTCTCCAGATACAAATCAAGATTTATCATGCATACAAGTTCTAGTCTATTTATTCTCTTTTCATTTGCGTGTTAAATTATTGATTTTCTACTTAAATATCATTTTTTAATGTGTAAATAATTACCTTAAGCATATAACTAATAGTTTGTTTTGTGATTACAACAAAAATAAATTTATCCTATTAATAAATTTCTCATGTTATTTTTGATTTCGCAACAATGACTTCTAAATTGTTCAATATTTTGACTTAGTCGATTAATTGCATTCAAGTGGTTTATTTACTCGTGAACAGAAGAAAAATAATAGTTAAAATAAATAAGAAAAAGGACATACAGTAAGTTTCTTTTCATGTTTTCTTTGACACCATTGACAGACATTCCAGTACATACAAAACAATAATCAACCATATAGAAAACAACTACGGTTTTAAACAGATGCTTGTTAATATCTAAAGTTGTCAGTTTTCTAATTGTTGATAAATAGATGATCTTAATGTTTTGAAAAAATTCAGATTTGTTCATCCCGCAACTGTAACAGCTGAACTGCGTCATTGATTTAATTAAACTAAGCCTCTGTCATTGATGAAATTAAAATAATATCATGATTTTATTGATACTATGATTTGTGTAGAAAACAGCGTCCATGATGTCTACGATAGATGATAAACTGTTATTTATGTACATGTCTTTTTCTCTTCTAAATTGCTTCTTCATCAATATATATATATAAACGAATAGAAATAAAATCTGTATTTTTCAGCAGCGAAAATAATTCATTTATTTCTTGAGAAAATTCTAAACATCTCAATAATCGATCATTGTCTTATAATTTGTTGTGTTAAATAATGTATAGTCTTCAGATTAATTACGAAATTCGAATTGATCCAGTATCTTAAGTATATTTTTTCTTTCCTATGCTTTCTAGGCGTACATCCAAATGATCGATAACACAAATCAAGTAAAGGATTATCAGACTGATGCATATTCAGATATATTAAATATTCGTTTGTTTTTGAATGCTACGGAATTGAATAATAAATTATTAACAGCTTTATTTTATGCAAATCATTCACTCTCTTCTAATGGGTTTTATTTTATGAATTTGCACTCATAATTTGTATGATTTTCTTTTATGCATGTATGCATTTAGCAATCCAGTATAATATGTAATGCATCGTAATCTTAGACCATCCAATAATTTGTAAAGATTGATTTCATCAGTTTCTACTAATCATGTAGCATATCGACTCGTTTTTGTATAGTCCTTTTTGTGATTGTATGTGCTTATAACGTCATTCGAAAGTGAGCATTACAAGAAAAAGATACATACGAGTACACACAAGTAACTAGTCAATTGGTTTTTTTTCAATCAAGCTAATAGTGCAGTCACAAAATAAGAAGGCAAAAACTGACTATTTATAACATGAATATACTCACATACTTACATCTTCAAAACAGGGGAATGCATTGCTGCTTCTCAACGATAGACTCGAATGCAATAACACATATTGCAAACTATAACAGAAACGTAGTCAATGCACTTGATAAATGCTAGTCCTGACTTTTGAATCATTGTAAATACGAAAGTAATAGAACGTTGTTTGAGTTATTCGAAAGAATAGTTTATATGATCTTTTTTTCAGGCACATGAACCTGAAAATGGCAGTTTCCAAAAGCACTACTCTCATGTTAACTGTGAATATTCACGGGATCTCTTTAACGCGGAAATATTTCCAAGTGTCAATGGCAGATCCAAACGACAGTTATCCTAGTCGATAGAGCTTTACGAGCCAATCACGATGGCAAGAGATGTTTTCTCACATACTATACTTGCTTATAGAGTTTTCAGGTTGAATCCTTGAATAGAGCCAAAGGCTAACCAAAAGTGTGAGATTATCGGCAAGAAAACATTAGAACAAAGTTGATTGTGAATCATTGATTATGACGTCGCAAGTTGTCAAGCCAATAGTGAGATTATCTATTGATATACGATGGTAAATTCGTCGTGCCAAGCTTTTCCATTGACAAAAGAAATACTAATCGCAAGGCTGTTTTGTCGATATCATATCTACAGAGACCAACATCAATCTTCGAGACTATTTTTTCGCTAGATTTGCTTTGTATGTAAAAGTATCTGTTAGCACTGACCATTAATTGAACGCGTGGGTGTTGTTTCTACTAATGTGTTTGAAGAGAAGGCCTATAGCAACATCGATGGCCTCATTCGTCTCATGAGCATAACTTTTTGGAAGACAACATGAGACAGAGCATGAAAGTTTGCATGTATCAAATACTTTCTCCACAATAGAGTCTTTTTTAGTTTTTCAAATAAAAATTCAATCATTGGATACTCAACTCCAGTTATATACGTGCACAAGTTGCAAAAAATGTGTCAGTTCGAAAGAATCCAGTGCTGCATTCCACTCAGACTACTGACAAGTAGCTTTGCATTTCTTTAACAATCGGACCAGGCACAATTCGTCCTGTCGCTGGATTGCAGTAACCCTGTACATATGACGTGTGGTTGATTGCAGGTTGTCCGATGCATTTACCGCGAACAGTAATCGAGTACTCAGTGTAATGCTTCTCGCCGTTCATGGTCAGTAGAGGCTTATCGACGCTTGGATCAACTACAAAGTACACAACAGCCACTCTGATGCCTGTTTCGTCGATTAGCAATGAATACGACTGACGATTCGGATACATGATGCTCGACGTAAGATTACTCTATTGATTTGAAACAATGGAAAAAATTAATGAATTCAGCTGGGAAAGAGAAGTCTCACTTCGAAAGCAGCACCGTTGAATTTGCCAAACCACAGTTGAGGAGATAGATTACTAGCGCTGAAATTTCATCTAGGTTCACCCATTTGCTGCTGACATACAACAACGTCGTCTCCTTCGCACCTTCCATCGCTCCAGCACAACTCCACCAGTAGGTATACCCTCTGCCATCGAAACCAGTTTCTACAATGCCTACAGGCCATTGTTATACAAGATTGGTAATGTCGTATACAGAAGCATTGCCATACGCTCGACATGGATTTTTATGATCGACCAGTAATAAACGTGCGGATACAAACCTTGCTAGGAGTACACTGGAAAGGATAAAGGACAGAATAATTGACGCTTTCGACATTTATCAATTTATCTAATAATCAGTAGTGCGCAATATTTACAACAGTGCAGAGATAGTAGAATAGAATTTGACAGAAATCTCATTATGCAATGCAAACGGCTCATGATTAAAATGCTCTCTAGTTATGAAATCATCTGATTGTACAGATGAAACTTGGTTTAGACGAGTTTTGAAGGCTAAAACGTTGTATCGATTAATTAGATTCACCACCAGGAGTGTCAAGTTTCTGTTTCCTTGAGTTGCCATCCGCATAGAAAAGGAAAGTAACGCCCCTGTTCACTATTTCAATACATTCAGTAGAAAACGAATGGTATGCAGTTCAGTTGTCTGATATTTGTATAGGAAAAATTTGACTCAAAAGATTTGTTATTGTAGCAACCTTCACTGGTTCGTCGAAACTGTCAGTAGTCGCTTTGGTAGGGAGAGAGCAATAGAAACAAGACAAATACACCGAACGAAGTGATAAAGCATATGAATTGACTTAACAATGTTTTTATTTTTTGCCTCTGCGTCATTGTTATCAACTATGCTTCTAAACTACTGTGCTCTTTTTTTCTCCTACGACATGTGATGTTGTTTACACATAACGAAGATTTTCATATCTTTTCTAGTAGCAAATTCGTTCGAGTGATTCATCGTGAGAAGTAGGTCTTCTCTAACGCTAACTAAAACGAAATATTACTAATGAGTAGGACATTTTTCATTTTTTTCTCGACTAGAATGTGAATGGTGTGTGCGTAGCAATTGGTATTCCGGTTTTGGGTGTGAGTCTGCTATTGAAACGCACCCATACCTTCATTAAGCTTAGCTGTTTTATTTTAGCGTTCACTATTTTTGACAGACAAACATCGCATTTAACTGAACGTTACACACATTTGGAAAAAATGAGACTTAAAGATTCAGATGTTTAAATAAGTCTGCAATTTTTTTGCGTTTTAATAAGATGAAATCTCATCATTGAAAAGAAACCAAAGCCAACGAATAAAAGAATCTATTGAAATCATTTTTTAAATTTCTTTCATATTGCACTCAATCAGTGCACTCATGCAGATTTTCATATTTCATTTGTATGCAGTGATTGCAGCCTTCATTCAACTGTACAAACTTTGGGAAACAGAAAATGCTTTGTTTGAAATGACTTATGTTCATAATAGGCGGACACAAGTTTTTCATAAACTCTGTGGTAAAAATCGACGATTTTTCAAAGAATACTAGCGAAAGAAGAATTGACTCAGCTCGTTCTTCTAACCGCACCTATGGATACTCTCACGGATGTGCTGTTTCTCATTTTTCAATGTTTCATTTGAGACTGAAAAATTATACAGCAAAGATACTATAACGAATAGCAAGATCGATAGTGCTTAATTCATCCAGTTTCATAACGATATATGCAAATGAAAATTGAAAGGATGTACAGATTATACAGATAAGGAAAGGAAACAGTATTTGCAAACTATGGATCCTTGATACCAATAGGTGGCGTGACTTAAGCAAGGAACGAGAATATGAATGTGTATGCAATGAAATTACTTGAGTTTTCAGAAGAATATCAAAAGTAATATAAAGAAAGAATTAAGAAAATGTAACTGCATCAAACGCTTTCTCCCGCACTTCGCTGAATTCATCGCAAAAAAACGATCGAAAATATATCAACTGCTGGAGGAGAGGTGGATTAGGTTTCTGACATATCCGCTCAAGGAAGTCGTGATTGAATGGAGATTCTATTGACCAAGGAGATTGAATATCAGATCTTATGACATTGAAATATTGAAATTATTAATCAGATAAAACTAAGGCATAAACAAATCAATTGAAATTACTATTTTCTTCATTTCTATAGTTAATTTGTTTATAAGGGCTCGGTATTTGACCGAATACATGAATAAAATTTTCCTTAAAAAACTAAATGTCTTCAAGACAGGTCATTTGACAGATTTTTTTTATCTACTCTAAACAAATTTGGTCGCCTTAGAAATTTAAACTTGTCTCATTTATGATACTTATGTTGTTATTAGCTATTTGTAAGTGTGAAAAAGATACTTATTGAACTGAACAGTATGTGTCAAAAGATGACTCAATCGATCATTCGAAATCACATTTGTGACGCTGACGAAGACGATGTGTGATATACAAGAAGAGCCAGCAGTTGAATCGTTGCAATTCATTTTTTACGCTGGACTTGCTTGTCGCTTATTATATAATCAATTTGTTCAGAGACTTTCTTCTTGATAGTTGATCGTAGTGATGAAATGAACCAATGGCTTTTTTTCTTTTAAAAAACATTTCAATTTGTCCAATGATAAGAAATACGTCATTTCAAGGTCAAAAAGACGAGAAAAATATTGATTATTGATTTCTTTCTCTTTGCTAATACATGATATCAAAAATAATATTTAAATCATTCATCTGACGTAAGTAAACAACGAATAATTATAAACGAACTAGAAACAATTACTTAATCGATCAATACAAAAATAACAAAGATTGGTAAATTTATTTCGAATATATTTCATTTTTATAGTGCATTGATGTATTCCACTACTTCTTATATTCAACAATCAACTGGTTATTCATCATTAGTATCCTATGCACATAACCATCATTATTTAAATGCTTCCATTAGTACTAATACACCCTCAACTAGTCGTAACTCAACACATTTATTACCTTATAGTGGTTATAATACTGATTTTGATTTATTATCACATTCATATAGTACCAAACAATCACAAAGAGAGGATGAAGATGATAATCAATCAATATCTTCATCACTGGATAACACAATGAATGGTACATTAATACCATTTAAAAAACGTTCACGTAGTGTACCAGCTGAAGAAAAAGATACTACATATTATGAGAAACGCTCTCGCAATAATGAATCAGCAAAACGTTCACGTGATGCAAGACGAATTAAAGAGCAACAAATTCAACAACGTATTATTTTATTAGAACATGAAAATTTACGTTTATCAATGGAAAATCAAGCTATTGGATATCAGCTTTCTCAACTTCGTACTTTATGCGATAGAACATCAAAGTCATTACAATAAGACAAAAAAAAACAGGTTTTGCTTTGTTTTGTTTTTTTTTAAATATATGTAATACATGAAATAAACAGATTTTCTATTGTTGCTTGTAAATAATAATAAGCTCAATTCGACTAACTCTTGAATATTTCAGATAATTTGATGGCTTTTGAAATGTTCAGTTCATCAATTTATACATCAAAATTAAAACAAGTTAATGAAAATTCTATATGATAATTAATATTGATTTCATTTTCATTTCAAACAACTCTAATCAATTTGTTGAAAGTATTTTTCTATTAGTATCAAGAGATTAACAAACGTTAAGCGAAAAGAAAAAGCAAATGATTGTTTACATCATTTGCATGCATAATCATAGTATTAATTTATGTTAATGATGTAAAATTGAAGCTTTATTTCAGATGGCATGCATAACTCAACATTCACTTGTATCATTATAATATATGACTTCAATTAAACATTTTGTGATACAACTCAAAATTAAAAATGTTAAAAATAATTGTTCTTAAGACATTTGAAGAATTGTTTTTCTTTTTGAAGTTAAATCAAATCATAGAATCAAAAGCATGAAAATGGAATCATATATATACGATACATCGATCCGTTTTTGAGTTAGATGAAAAAGAAAGATGCTTAATCATATCGATATTTTGAGTTGTTAAATGATTCGATTCAACTGAGTTCTGTTGTCTAACAAGAAAAAAATCAATTAACATATATCAACAATCATATTGTTTGTTCGTCAATAAAATTTTATACAAGCATTTGCAAAGAACTGGAGAGGAAATGAATTTCATATACAAATTCAATAAAAACATTTTTATCTATGTTAAATTTTGATGTGTACTAAAAGCAGTCAATTATTTTTGATGTATCATAAAATATTTGATAAAATACTTTCTCATAACAGAGGAAAAAAAGAATTTCATTATTCTTTATTGTTGTTATCTTTTATTTTTTGCATTCGAACTATCATCACACATTATCACTCTAATTAGTATCCAGACATCAGTAAAGTTTTGGGTGTGGGTGTAGTTGAAAGTATCTTTGTGTTGAAGTCAAACACCCACAGGGTGTGGGGGTGGGTGTGTGGCTTCAACACAAAGATACTCTCAGCCACACCCACACCCTGATCGGTCTTAAGAACAAAAATAAACTATTCAATAAATTGTACTGTGTATCAATATTATACTTCAAAATTTTCTTTTGCTTGAGTTTCAGCTAAATGTTTATGATCAAGTTGTTCAATATGACGATTAATGAGGCAAATACCACTATTAGAAATAGAAAAATCTGATTTACATGTAGAACAAGAACCAATTGTTTATTAGTTCGATATTCTCTAAGAAATGTTGTGTATTTAGGATTTTTCAGCCTTTGTTGAACGAAGATACAACGTCTTTTTGACTTTGATGAACTGATTTTTTTTCTTTGATATTGATAGTTGGGTTGTCTCAGAAATCAGAAGATTCCTCACATGTTGTGGTTGTTGTTGTTGCTTTTCAATCTTCGAAAATTTCAATTTCATAATCCTTGTTCAATTCCATGTGAAGTATCATCATATCCATTGAAGAGAGAATCTAAAACTAGATTCATTTGTGAGACAATATATATTTGTCAAATATAATAGAAACAAGTAATGAAACAATGCGAAATGAGAAAAGGAGGAAAATTCCTTAAAATTTATTTCATTTTTCATAGGAAAAATAGTATGTAAAACAGAATAATTCAAGACAAAATGGATATTAATATGTATTGGTCAGTTCTTTACCAACACATTTTACTATAGATGCCTTTATAAAAATGACAAAACTCTAACCCTTTGAGGACCGTAGGACATACATTGTCCCACCTGTTACTTAGTAAAGAAAATGTTTGCTTTTCTTTTAATCGCTATGACTCGTAAGGTAATAGGTCGTCTCATCTGCCATCTCATGCACAGCTGTTCTCTCTTTCTTCCTGTCATATAGATTTCTCTCAGATGTTCTCCTTTGTTTCTGTTATTATATACTGACGTCATGATATCTTTCTCTCTTGTTTTAATGTATTATCATAAGATTCTTATGTGGTCATTTTGAGCCAAACACAATAAACTGATTGAAGAACAGCTTTTCAATTGAAAAAAGAAATTCGGACCTCAAAGGGTTAAGTTTTCGAAAATTGTGCAACACATGGAAATTTTTAAAAACCAAACTATATCAAGTGACAGTTGATATCCTTTTTGGTGTCATATCACGAACGTTGGTTTTTCGTTAATAACTTCTCTGAACAAAGCTCTGAAGTGTTGATTTTTCATGGCAACTAGAGTACATAGAGACTTGTACAGAATGCAAAAATCATATCTAAATCAGCTGATAATTCTGAGGTATGCATGCTCCAAATTTGCGATGTCTCGTCGCTAACGAATGATTTAGTCCATATATAAACTAGAGTAATAAGAAAAAGATAGTGAGAAATTTAGCAAGCAACAAATAAATAGGATACATATAAAATTTTAATAATAAAATCTGTAAATGAAGCATATGACAATACATATTGTTGTTAATAGAATCCGAAGTAAAAGACAATTACAGCAATCATTCGAAATAAATCACAATTACAAACACATACGAAAAAAAAAAGAAATGACACAGAACTGCAAAGAAGACTAAACATTTATTTGTAAACACAAATTAACAAATATTTAAGTATGTATGGCAGCTGTTTGTTGAGTTGGTGACGATGCTTTATTATTTGTACCATTATAACAATGAACTTCATCTATAGTTGGTGCTTGACGAACTTTTACTGATATTAATTTAGATGGTTTTGGTGGTGGTGGAGCTGCACCTTTTTTACTTGATTTTGAAAGTACTGGTGAAACTGATGGATGCTGACCATTTTGCGAAACTATTATTGATGGTTCAACTGTGACTAAAAAAAAAACATCGATGAGAAACACTTCTGATCTCTATCGAAAAAAATCTTTTCAACTGATATTTTCTGTTCCTAAGGTTTATTATACAGATCAAATTCGTAGAAAGATGTGTCATTAGATCTTGCTTCTCGCATTATGATGATTTTTACTAAGTTTTCACTCTATTGAAGGACACAAGGAGAAAAAGTAAATCAAAAAGTTTAAGTTGAAAACAGACGATCTCTTCTCAAGATAATATATTCTTAATAAAAGTTTTTTTTTTCAAATCTAAATATTTCAAGGAAGAAAACAACCAATTTGACTTAAACTTTCTAGATATAATGAGGAACATAAGATCTACAAGATATACCAAAGGTCAAATGAAGCTTATAAACAATGTATAAAAGATAATGGTTGAAGTTTTTGAAGAGCCACAAACAACTTTTTATGAAGGAATACATGGACAATTCAATCGTTATAAAATAATGATGCCAAAAAAAATGATTAAAAACTAATTAACGAAAATCTGCATGGTCTGAAGCGCATAATGACGATAGAATTTCGAGTAGGTGTTAACAAAACAAGAAAACGATGCATATTGTTGGTGGCATCGTAAAAAATTCTAATTTTAAATTGTGACCGAAAGTGTTACCTTTTCTACACTGTCGATCATCTCAGACTTTATGAATAAAAACTTACAAATCTTCTATTCTACGAAAAAGATTTCTTACTTTTTCGGAAAACAGCATATTTTTCAAGCGGATGATAGAAAAAATAATCAAATATTTTCGTCAAAAAGAAGATGTTGAATAACAATGGCACTTTCATTAATTCTGACGATAATTGATTTTTTTTTTTGAAAAGGGGCTTAATTCATTTTTTCTCTTCATATCGGCTGAACTTTCATTATAATGATTATAACTTGAAAAAAATGATCTAATTGAACATATCTCTTAAAGGCTATTGTTTGCACAATTGATTTTATCAATGGACAAAACAGGAACTCGGAAGTAAATCTGTCTCTCGGTATGATATGCTATTTAGAGGTACATTTGATAGCCCAATGTCCTCTCTTCGAGTAATACTAGCTCTGGTTTTAATCAGAAGGTCAATCTGACACAGACTTCTTGCGCTCTTCATGCACATTGACTAACTACAAGAGCAGGTATATGCCAAAATGCACTGAGAATGCTATCGGATGGGTGATCTATGACAAACATCCGTTAGTGATATGTAGAAGATCATTTCATAGCTGATGGTGTTGATGTAAGATATCATGTAAAAGAATATATTTGTTCGAAATAATTACTTTTTAATGGTGTTGATTGAAATGAAGGTGGATCATGTTCAATCGATTTTAAAACTTCCTCACTGAAAAATGAAATATACAATTCCATTGAAAGATAAACAACAATCGAAATATTTACTGTGATGGATGATTATTGGTAATATTCATTGAATTTAAATCAATTGCAGAATCAGAATTCGTACTAAAACCACTGTTTGTTTCATTTTGATTTGATTTTACTATTATTATTGATTCAGGTTCATCAATTTCATTTTTATTCTAAAACAAAGAAACAAAAATAGAAATATCAAAATAACAATCATATAATTTATTTACATCAATATTCTTAGGTGTAAATGAAGAAATTGAATCTTTTGATAATGTTTCATGATGTTTTTCATGTGTCAATTCATTCATATGATCATTTGATTCATTTTTTTGCGAACCTATTTGTTTACTTGATTGATCTTCTATTAATCTTAATATTGTTTTACGTTGAAGTTTATCATATGAAATCATCATTGAATAAGATGAAATATTTTGTAATGAAAATGTTACTTCTGTTAATTCAGATGATGATTGTAAATAAAAAGCATGTCCATATGGTGTAAATTGTACACTTGATAATGCTGTAATATCAGTTGGTTTGACACAATTAAATAAAACTTGACGACGTAATGTTGGTAATGAATAAATACCAATTTGACCCGTATTATCCAAACATATAAGACAATTTTCTGAATGAGATTCATCTGGATTATCTAAAATAGTTTTATTGACGAAGAGGAACTTTAAAATATAAGCAATATATTTACCTGT